GGGGTGGGGGGGGGGGATTCCCCCCATAGGACCTGGGGATGCCGCTCCCTGTGGGGTTCTGACCCATCCACCAACCACAGGGCACAGGCCGTGCCTGAGCTGTGAGTGGGTGAAGCAAAGCCAGTGCAGCGAGTCTCCCCGGCCTCTCCTTCCCCGCCCGTCTGACCACCCCCTCGGCCGCGGCACAGCCAGCCTCCCGGATCCAGAGTGACCCGAGCCCGGCCAGCGGCTCTCCCCTCAACGACAGAGTCACATGCTCTGGGTCTTCACGGACTTGAACCTGGAAGGCCCCAGGCAGCACACGCCTCCGGCCCCCTGAGCCAGGCACGGGGTTGGGGAGAGACACTGGCCAGGCTGCCCGGCGGCCAGCAGCCCCATGACTGTCTGCGAGAGGGACCAATACTCCGCTTTGGCTTGACCAGTTTTCCACCCCCTGTGACTGGGATGGTCTGGCTGGATGCCCCCAAAGGCGGGCATCTTTTTCGATGCAGACAAGGCTGCCAGGGGCGCCCCACAACTGCTTGCGTGCTGTCCTGCTGCCTGAGTGAGCGCGGTGTGGGGTCACAGAGGCATGCCCCTGCCTGCCCCCGCCTCCCGCCCAGCTGAGTGCGCGGCCTGGACAGCAGAGGCCGGCCGCGGCCACCGGTACCTGTTGTAGAGATGCTCCCAGACGTTCTGGGGCAGGATCACCACCAGGTCGTCGATGTAGTGGTACTTGTTGGGCGGGATGCCTGCGGAGGAAGGCACAGGATGGAGAGCGGGGCTCGGCCCACCCGCCCCGCGGCCCATCGCAGAGAAGGCGACCTCACCTCCGTGGGAGCAGAGGAAGGTGTGGTTGGCGATGGGCCCCGGCTCGGCGAAGGTGTTGAACTTGTTGAGCCATTCCCGGGACACGTAGAACCGCAGCAGGCTGGGCTCCCGCACGGCGGCCAGGGACACCACCTGCTGCCGCTCCCGCACGGCCTCCTCGCTGCTCTTCCTGGGGCGCGGCGGGGTGGGGGCAGATCAGGAGCTGCAGCCACGCCCCATTCGGGAAAGCCCCGCCTCCCGGACCCCGCGGCATCCCTCCACCGCCCCTGCCAGAGTTGCGGCCGCCATCACCTCCCACCGGGACCACCGGAGAAAACCGAACTCGACTACTTGGGTTTCCAGCTTTCCCACCAGCAGCCAGCGGGCTTTCTTAAAAACCCAAATCCTTACTCCTCCCTGGCCTAAAGCCCTCGCAGGCGCCACCACCCCGACAGGCACCGGCTGCAGTGCTGGGGCGCAGGCGCGGTCCCTCAGCCCCCCACGCGCTGCCCGGGCCCCACCTGTAGAAAAGCACGTAGGCCTCGGCGTTCTGCACCACTGTCTCGTGGACCTCGGTGACGTACTGGTCGTCGAACTCATACCACTGCCCGTTGATCACGTTCTGGCAGTAGGCGATGTAGTGGCCACCTGCGGCGCGAGAGGCAGGGGTGACAAACACCCTAGGGCCGGGGTGGGGCCGGGGTAGGGCCGGGTGGCTGGACTCACTGCCTGCCGTGCCGTGGTGGCAGATGACCGAGAGGAGGTCATAGGTGGTGATCTGGGACGTGCACTCCTTGGCGAGGAAGGGGCGCAGGTCAAGTCCCTCCAGGGGCAAGGAGACGTGGCTGCTGATTTTGAACGAGTACATCACCTCGTGCCGAAAGCGCTTCAGGTGAATGCACAGGATCTGGGGGGAAGGAGGGGAGGTGCCAGTCACTCCGGGGCTGGCCAGGGCCCTGGGAGCCCTGGTAACCTGACGGGGGCCTCAGAGCAGGGCTCTGGGACACCCACTAGTCCGCTGTTTGACCCACTCAGGCCCTGTCACCCAGGGGAAAACCAGAAACGTAGTAGCTAGAGCCTTCCAGAGACCCAGGCTAACTGATGGCCCTGCCCTTGACTCTGAATACACTTAAGAACCATGCGTGGGAGCCGGGCCAGGCCAGCTTTCAGGGATAAAGGCAGATGTGACAGCAGAGCTGAGCTGCACTAACAGGACTGGCGGTCAGGATGGGCTGTCCCCGAGCACTGGGCTGGTCTGTACAGGAAGCTGTCACTGGCCCATCGAGTTGACCATCCAAAGAACTCTGGCCACCAGTTCTGTGGGCGCCGACTTGTAGAAGGCTTCTCCACCAAGGCTCCCCAGACCTGCTCAGCCCAGCCTGGCACCCGCGTCGGGCCATGCTCCTCTCGTTGCAGCCACAAGCCTCGGCCAAGCCCCCTTCTGCTTTGGGGTTTTGCCCGCCTGTTCTTTCCCCAGTCTTTCCACCAGGCCGACCCCTGCCTATGTCCTCAGGCCCCACTCAGATGCCACTTCCTCGGAAAGGCATTCCCAACAGCCCCGCCTATGCCTTACTCCAGACGGTGCCCTCGGCGCCCCACACCTGCCTCCCGCCCGCACGAGACGTGCTGAGGGATGAAGGAGCCGGGCTCCAAGCTACACACCGAGCAACGAGCCTCCCCACCGGCCAGACCCTCCCGGGGGTCGCCCAGCCAGAGCAGCAGTCTCCACGGGCCTCCTGAGTCCGGGAGCGCGTCGGCCTCTGCCCTGCACGGCAGCTCGGGGTGAAGGCCCGGCAGGCACAGGCGGCGGGAGGTCCCGCCCACTCACCTCTGGCAACCGCAGGACCTTACAATACTTCACGCCATTGCGCAGCCTGGGGGCAGAGAGCGGGGGGCGTGAGCGTCCCAGGGAGGGGGCCTGCAGGCGGGGCAGCGCCCCTCCCACCCGGCTCAGTCTGCGAGGTCGAGCTTTCTGGGGGAGCCCGGGGGAGTGCGTGGACCACACACGGAAACGGGAAGTCGGGGAGAAGCCTCTAGAACGCACACACTTACTTTTTACACCGTTCACAGCTATACATGTTGTCACCTAGGGCAGTAAAACACAGAGACAAAGGTTAGCAGGGATGGAAAATGGGGGAGAAGGGCACATAATGACTTATGCCTTAGAAATAAAACCACAACATGCTGACTACAAGAGACTCACTTTAGCTTCAAGGACACACAGAGGCTGAAAGTGAAGGGATGGAAAAATATATTCCATGCAGTGGTAACCAGGAGAGAGCAGGAGTGGCTGTACTTATATCAGATAAAATACACTTTCAGCCAAAATCAGTTACAAGAGACAAAGAGGGTCACCCTACAGTGATAAAGGGATCAATTCATCAAGAGGATGTAACCACTGTGAATATATAGGCAGCCAACATTGGAGCACCTGAATGATTAAAGCACAACTGAAGGGAGAAATGAACAGCAATACAATAATAGTGGGAAACTTCAATAGTCCACCCTCAATATTGGATAGATCATCCAGACAGAAAATTAACAAGGGGACAGCAGACCTGAATAACACTACGGCCCAAATGAACCTAACAGACGTAAACAGAACATTCCAGCCAACAGCACCAAAAACACACACGTGCTCCAGAATAGATGGTATGTTGGCCCACCAAGCAAGGCTTAACAAATTTAAGAGGACTGAAATCATATCTAATATCTTTTCCAAACACAGTGGTATGAAACTAGAAACCAATAACAGGAGGAAACCTAAAAAATTCAGAAATATGTGGAAATTAAACAACACATTCCCGAACAACTGATGGGTCAAAGAAGGAATCAAAAGGAAATCAGGAAGTATCCTGAGACAAATAAAACCGAAAATACAACACACTGGCACTTATGGGATACAGCAAAAGCAGTTCTAAGAGGGAATTTTATAGCAATAAATGCCTACATTTAGAAAAAAGAAAGCTCTCAAACGATCTGATTTTACACCTCGAGGAATCAGAAGAAGGCCAAAGTAAATCCAAAGTCAACAGAAGGAAGGAGGTAATAAAGGTTAGAGCAGAAACAAAACGGAGGCTAGAAAGACCACGGGGAAAAAAATCAATGAAACTAGGAGTTGTTTTCTGGGAAAGAGAAACAAAATTAACAAATCTTTAGCTAGATTAACCAAGAAAAAAAGAGGACTCAAACAAAATTATAAATGAAAGAAGAGACATACAACAGACACCACAGAAGTAAAAAGGATCGAAAGAGACTCCCATGACCAACTATACACCAACACAACAAATTGGATAACCTAGAAGAAACGGATAAATACTTAGAAACGTACAACCTACCCAGACTGAATTATGAAGAAATGGAAAATCTGAAAACACCAATGACTAAGGAGATTGAAGCAGTAATAAAAAAAAAACCTCCTAACAAAGAGAAGTCCAGGACCAGATGGTTTCACCAGTGAATTCGCCCAAACATTTAAAGAAGAATTAACAGTTCTTCTCAAACTCTTCCAAAAATTGAAGAGGAAGGAGCACTCCCAAACGCATTTTATACTGATGGCAAAGCCAGATAAGGACACTACAAGCAAAGGAAACTACAGGCCAATATCCCTGATGAATATAGACGGGAAAATTCTCAACAAATACTAGCAAACTGGGCTTCCCTGGTGGCACAGTGGTTGAGAGTCCGCCTGCCGATGCAGGGGACATGGGTTCGTGCCCCGGTCCGGGAAGATCCCACATGCCGCGGAGCGGCTGGGCCCGTGAGCCATGGCCGCTGAGCCTGCGCGTCCGGAGCTTGTGCTCCGCAGCGGGAGAGGCCACAACAGTGAGAGGCCTGCGTACCACAAAAAAAACCTCAAAAAACAGCAAACTGACTTCAACAGCATATTAAAAGGATCATACACCATGACCAAGTGGAATTTATCTCTGGGTTGTAAGGATGGTTTATCATACGCAAATCAATGAACATGATATACTACATTAATAGAATGAAGGATAAAAATCATATGATCCTCTCAATAGATACAGAAAAAGCATCTGACAAATTTCAATTACCCTTTCACGATAAAAGGTCTCAGCAAATTGGGTGTAGAAGGAATGCACTCAACATCATCAAGGCCATATATGATAAACCCATAGCTAATATCATATGCAACAGTGAAAAGATAAAAGCTTTTCCTCTAAAATCAGGAACAAGGCAAAGATGCCCAATCTCACCGCTTCTATTGAACATAGCACTGAAAGTCAGAGAAAGGAAGAAAAAGAAGTAAAAGGCATCCAAACAGGAAAAGAGGAAGTAAAACTGTCTCTGTTTGTAGATGACGTGATCTTTTACATAAAAAACCTTAAGACGCCACAAAAAACTGTTAGAACTGACAAACTAATTTGGTAAAGTTGCAAGACACAAAATCAACATACGAAAATCAGCTGCATTTCTATACACTAATGATAAAATGTCTGAATGAGAAATAAACAATCCCATTTACAAAAGCATCAGAAACAATAAAACATATAGGAATAAACTTAACCAAGGAAGTGAAAGATTTGTACACTGAAAACTACGAGATGCTGATGAAAGAAATCGAAGGTGGATGTGAGATAATAGAAAATATACACAGTGGGCTCTCCCGGAGGTTCCTGGCACAGGGCTCTTAAAGTCCTTGTAATTTCCCAGGTGATAAGAGCACTGGGAGCATCTTTTGTTCTTATATTTGGTCTTTGACCAGGGTTTCTAATACAGAGCTTCTAAATCCCTTGCAATTTCCTGAGTGATGGCAGGGTCTTTTGTTCCGACGAGGTGACTCTGGGTGGGCTTCTGGATTGGGGCTGGCCACCCGGAAGACCAAGCCATAACTGGAAGTTTGGAATTTTCAGCACCACCTGGCATTCTTCAGAGAGGGGAGAGGGGCTAGAGATGGAGCTAAGAACTGATCATACCTACGTGAAGAAGCCTCCATTAAATACCAACAGTATGGGGTTTGGAAAGCTTCCGGGCTGGTGAACACGGGGAAGTTTGGGGAGAGGGTCATGCTCAGAGCAAATGAAAGCTCCAGGCCCCTTCCCACATGCCTTGCCCGATGCGCCCCTTCCATCTGGCTCTTCCTGAGTTATATCCTTTTATCGTAAACCAGTCAACTAGTAACAAAATGTTTCTCTGAGTTCTGCGAGCCGAGCCGCTCTAGTTGCTCTAATTGAAGCCAAGGAGGGGGCCGTTGGAACCTCCCATCTATAGCCAGCCAGTCAGAAGCCCAGGTGACAACCTGCACTTGTGACTGGCGTCTGAAGTTGGGGAGGGGGAGGTCTTGTAGGACTGAGTCCTTAACCTGTGGGATCTGACGCTATCTCCAGGTAGATAGTGTCGGAATCAAGTGAAACTGTAGGATCCCTGGCTGGTGTTGCATAATTGCTTGGCGTGGGAAAACCACCAGACACCTGGTGTCCAAAGTGCTGTGTGGCAGTAGTGTGAGAGTAGAGGAGAGACACACAGGAGGAAGACTGAGTTGTTCCCACACAATGACACAAATAAAGAGATAGCCTGTGGTCATGGAGCAGAAGAAGAAATATTGTTAAAATGTCCATCTTACCCAAAGTCACCTATAGATTCAAAGCAATCCAATGATGTTTTCATAGATATAGAAAAAAAAATCCTGAAATTCATATGTAACTACAAAAGATCTCAAATAACCAAAACAATCTTGAGAAAGAAGAACAAAGCTGGAGGGATCACATTTCCTGACTTCAAACTCTCCTACAAAACTACAGTTATCAGAAGAGTATGGTACTGGGACTTCCCTGGCGGTCCAGTGGTTAAGACTCTGCCCTCCCACTGCAGGGGACACAGGTTTGATTCCTGGTCGGGGAACTAAGATCCTGCATGTGGTGTGACCAAATTAAAAACAAAACAAAACAGTATGGTACTGGCATAAAAATAGACACATAGAACAATGAACAGAATTGAGAGGCCAGAGATAAACCCATGCATATATGGTCCACTAATATTTGGCAAGGGAGCCAAGAATCCTCAATAGGGAAAAGATAATCTTTTCAATAAACAGTGTTGGGGAAACCAGATGTTCACATGCAAACGAATGAAATTTTACCCCTATCTCACATCACTCACAAATATTGACTTGAAATCAGTTAAAGACTTAAATGTAAGACCTGACACCATAACACTTAGAAGAAAACATAGGGAAAAACTCCTTGACATTGGTCTTGGCAATGATTCTTTGGATATGACACCAAAAACACAAGCAACAAAAGCAAAAGTAAACAAGTGGGATGACATCAAACTAAAAAGCTCCTGCACAGCAAAAGAAACAATCAACAAAATGAGGAGGCAACCTACAGCATGGTAGAAAATAGTTTAGAAACCATATATCAGATTAGGGGTTAACATCTAAAATATATAAAGAATTCACACAAGTCAATAGCAAAACACAAATAATACAATTTAAAAATGGGCCGAGAACCTAAATAGGCATTTCTCCAAAGAAGACATATAGATGGCCAACAGGTACATGAAAAGATGCTCAACATCACTAACCGTCAGGGAAATGCAAATCAAAACCACAATGAGACACCACCTCACACCTGTCAGAATAGCTATTGTCAAAAAGAAAGAGATTTTTAAAAAATTATTTATTTATTTGTTTGTTTATTTATTTTTGGCTGTGCCACGCAGCTTGTGGGATCTTAGTTCCCCTACCAGGCACTGAACCCGGGCCCTTGGCAGTGAAAGCGCGGAGTCCTAACACTGGACCGCCAGGGAATTCCCAGAAAGAGATTTTTTAAAAGGACAAGAGAGTACAAGTGTTGGCAAGGATGTAGATCAAAGGGAACCCTTGTGCACTATTAGTGGGAATGTAAATTGGTACAGCTATCAAGGAAAACGGTAAGGCGGTTGCTCAAAAAATTAAAAATAGATCATCGATCATATAATCCAGCAATGCCACTTCTGGGTATATAACCAAAGGAAATGAAATCACTATCTTGAAGAGATATCTGTGCATCCATGGTTCATCACAGCATTATTCACAAGAGCCAAAAGGTGGGAGCAACCCAAGTGTCCATCAACAGATGATGAATAAACAAAATGTGGCCCATTTACACAATGGAATATTATTCAGCCTTAAAAAAGGAAGGAGGGACTTCCCCTGGTGGTGCAGTGGTTGGGAATCCGCCTGCCAATGCAGGGGACACGGGTTCAATCGCTGGTCCGGGAAGTTCCCACATGCCGCGGAGCAACTAAGCCTGTGCGCCACAACTACTGAGCCCGCACGCCACAACTACTGAAGCCCGCGTGCCTAAAGCCCGTGCTCCGCCACAAGAGAAGCCACCACAATGAGAAGCCTGCGCACCACAACAAAGAGTAGCCCCCGCTCGCCGCAACTAGAGAAAGGCCGTGCGTAGCAACCAAGCCCCAACGCAGCTAAAAATAAATTATTAAAAAAAAAACAAAAAAGTAAGGAAATTCTACACTTGCTACAACATGGATGAGCCCTGAGGACATTACACTAATAGACGTAGACTAGTCACAAAAGGACAATCACCGTATGATTTGACTTAGATGAGGAACCTAGAAGAGTCAAATTCATAGAGACAGAAAGTAGGATGGTGGATGCCCGGGGCTGGGTGGAAGGGGGAACAGGGAGTTGCTATTTACGGGATAGTTTCAGTTCTGCAAGATGAGGGCGTTCTGGAGATTGGTTGCACAACAATATGAATATAGTTAATACTACTGAACACTTAAAAACGGTTATGATGGTTCATTTTATGTTATGTATATCTTACCACAATTAAAAATTAAACAAAAAGAGTTTTCCCAAAGGTTAGTGCGATGTCAATCACTGAACAGAAAAACAGGAAAAGAACAGGAATGGGAAATTTTAAAATAAGAAGTACAGCCAATACACTTAAAAAAAAAAGTTCAAGCTCATCAATAATCAAGGAAATGCAAAATTAAAGACTGTTATCCTTTTTGCCCACCGAATAGGTAAAGGAAGGAAAACAGGTGAACCCCTAAGAGCTACAGGCGGTGGGGCTGTGAGAGTGTGCAGTCCCAGGCCCAGCCTGGCAGGCAGGGGTGGGACTCTGACAGTGAGTCCCAGAAACCCTGAACTGTGTGCTGACCCAGCCAGCTGGGTCCACTCACCCTTCAGCTCGTCAGCGGCGAAGAAGGCGGCGAGGCAGTCTTCCAGGGTGACCACCGGACCCCAAAACCAGCTGGGGGTACAGGATACCACGAACCTACAGAGACAGAAAGGGGTTGGCGGGGGTGCTGCCGGGGCCTCGGCGAGAGTAAGACGTGGAGGCTTTTGGGCTGGGGTCTGTTTGGGCCCAGATGGGCAGCTTGGCCCCGGTGGGTGGAATGGGCCGAAGTCTGGAGCCAGAAGCCTGGGACTGCCAGCCAGCAGCTCTGTGTCCTTGGGAGGGCGACATCACTTCCCCCCGAGTCTCGCCTTCCTTATCTGTGAAGGGGCCCCAATCACGCTGGCCTGTCTTCTGGGCAGAGTACAGGTTCCTGACATCAGGCAGGTAAAGCCGGCCTCGGGGCACACAGTGGGGACTCCGGAAGGCCACCACGGTGCTCCCTACAGGGCCAGGCCTGCACTCCAGCCGCCGCCCCCCTTTCCAGCTGCCACTTGGTCACACTCTCCATCGTCACCTGCCTTCTGATCCAGAGGCCCACCCGAACCAGGCCACCCCAGGACAGCTGAGGAGCACTCCCACCCCACTTGGCAAACCTCTGAGCCCCCTTCAGCCTCAAGCTCCCTTCCGAACTACACCCTCAGCCCTGCAAAAGCTTGTACTTTGCTGTTAAAGGTCTGTCGCCTGTCAGCCTGCGAGTTCCAGAAAGGCCAGGCCTGGGTGGTCTTGTGTCTCCAGCGGGCGGGAAGGTGGCATACCGTCGGATATACTCCACGATAAAGGCCAGCCAGCCTTGGGTGGCGGAGCTGTCCCCGCAGGAACCCGGCTTGGCTGGCACATTCTGGTAGATGGCTGAGTGGAGCTTGGCCAGGTCCTCCTTGCCAGGAATGGGCAGCGACAGGTCCTGGAATGTCTCCACCGTGGTGGACACCTGTGGGGTCGAAGGTCAGCCTGGGTCTCCACCTCCCAGGGTTCCGCCCTGCCCAGACCAACCAGAGTTTGCACCCCAAACCCCAGCCACCAGAGGGCAGGTGTGGGGCAGAGAGCCTGCTCCCGAGCCCGGGACACAGGAGGCCCACACCCGGGGCCCACCCCCAGAGAAAGGCAGGGGGCACCAGGCAGAGAACCAGCGCCCAACCCCCAAGCTGCGTGAGGACCCCGGTGCGTCCCTCCCCTCCCCCAGGGCGCCCACCCGGTCACAGGTGAGACACTGCACGAGGCTGAGGATGGAGCCGTCGAAGATGTCTGAGATGACGCTGCGGTAGCGCTGCTCCTTCCGCCGCCGGCTGCTGGAGCTCGGTACCTGGGCTGGGGGCACAGCACAGGGCTAGGCCCAGCCCCCACTGGCCTGTCTGGGGCAAGGGGTGGGTGCTGGGACTTGGAGTCAAATCTGTATGAGTCATGTGACTGGCTGTCTCTTCACCTCCCGGTGCCTCACTCATCATCTGTGGGATAGGGCCCCACTCGTGTCCCAGGCGTGTTAGGAGGGTTCAGAGACACTGCGTGAGGAGTACGGCAGCCCAGCCCCTGGTAAAGAGCGCTCCAAACCCAAAAACGGCAGCCAGAGGTACGGCTTCCACCCGAGCCCCGGGCTCCACACGGGGATGCCCTGCCCACCTTCCCTGCCCGCCCGCTCCCCCGAACCTTTCTTGAGCACGTAGGACGGCCCCATCCTCACGGGGCTCGCACGAGGAGGGCTGCCGGCCAGCTTGGCGTGGCCCTCGTGGAGGTGGACAGGGCTGCAGGGGCGAGAGGCGCTGCGCATGTGGGCCTCGTTGTCCGGCTCTGGGGGCAAAGGGGGGACCGTGCTGGGGCAGAACAGCCGAGCCAGCCGCGGGCCTGGTCAGGAAGACCTGCCAGCGCCTCCTAAGGGGACTGAGGCCTGAACCCACCACATCTCCTCTGTCCTGGGTCCACCCCAGCCCCCCAGCCCCACGCAGAACGTGCTGTCCACACCCTTCCCGTTCCCAGCGGAGGGCTCGGGTGGGCTCTGAGTCCAAGTGAGTCTGGACACATCATTTACCCGATTTCTCACCGATAAGTCGGGTCTCGTGGGAGAGCCCCCCAGGGTGGGGCGGAGCCGAGCAGGTTGTGGGTGCTCTGCCCCCCAGCAGGAGCCGGACAAACGGGGCCACGATGCCCCGAGGGGCTTGGCTGGTACCTGGTGTCCGGCAGGGGCTGGTGGACCGTGGTGACGGCGGCTGCGTGTCCGTGGGCTGCTGGTTCAGGGCGGCCATGGCGGTGTCCACGTCGGCGTCCTCGTCCACCTGCTCCGAGTTGGTGCGCTGCTGGCCCCACGAGAACTTGCGGTCCTTCATGCGCTCCTTCTCGGAGATGGCGCGGCCCGCCTCGTCCACGACCAGCAGCTCCGTCTCAGCCTGGGGGCCGCCCCCGCCGCGCCCCTGCCCGTCGCCCTCACCGCGATCACTGCTGGAGTCGCAGGACAGGAACTCGTCCTCTGATGGGCTCCGGTCGCCCTCCCGCTTCTCATCCGTGTCACTCGAGTCTGAGTCCCGAGCCTCGGTCAGCGCTGCAGCCGCGGCCACCACGGGCTCCTTGAGCTCCTCGTGCAGCTGGTCCATCAGGCAGCGCAGGAACTCTTGGGTGTCCTGGAACCAGGGGCGGCGTCGACACGGATGCTGGGGGGCCCATACGGGCACCCCTCACAGTGGCCTCCTCAACACGGCAGTCCTAAGCCCCCTCCTACTGAGGAGGACGTTGAGGCTCGAGAGGCTGGCCGACCCCTCCCAGGTCTCGCGCTGTGAAGCGGCAGAGCAGAGGTGGTGAGCCAGGTCCACCTGACCCCCAGCTCCTGCTCTCCATCACCTGCGGCCCTGCTCCCAACTCAGCATGGGAGAGAGTGGACGTATCGCGTTCAGCCATTAAAGTCGCCTTGCTCCCTAAAGGAGGGGACAGTGAGGGCGGGCAGGGAGCCCGAGTAGGACAAAGGTGCCACTGTGAGCACGTCTGCAGGTGAGTGCTCCGCTGAGTTCCACAGGGGGGGGGGAGCAATGCCACCCGGCAGGCCAGGCTGCCTGCATCCTTGACCTGCCTCTGGTTCCCTCTGTGCTTCCGGTCCTTCGCCAGCCCGCGTGGCCACGCCTTCCCCTGCCACTGTGACTGGCGCAGGAGAACGTGGCGCAGGAGAACGGGCCCCCGCAGGCCTGGGCATGACTCGGACTAAGGTGCCTCTTCAGGTTGGCCGGGTCTCAAATCCCAGCAGTGACGCTGTTATTCTGACTACGCCGCGACTACGGCATAACCCAGAGGAAGCCAGGGCAGCGAGGCCTCTGGCACAGCCGGCCCACTGGCCCAGCCGTGAGCGGTGCACACAGGCGGCGCTTTAAAAGGTCAGAAGATGATGGTGGCTGGCCTCTGACAGCTGGGGACACTTGGTGCTGTGCGGGGCCACTGGGTTCAAAGTCCAGTCCTGTCCCTCACCGTCCCTGCCCTGGATGCCAGAAGCAGCTCCCGAGCCCAACTCCTGCCCAGCGAGGCAGGGATCACACAGTGGCCAGACCCAGCCAAGCACCCAAAGCCTCAGGTCACCGATGTGGAGAGAAGGGCCTCGTTTTCTCAGTTCTAGCAGGGGGAGGAGAGGGCCCTGGATTACATCGAGCGCCAGGGAGGGGGTAGGAGACGTGCGTCGTGTGTGTCAGGGACACGGAGAGGTTCTTTCAAGAAACAGGCCCTCAATACATCATCTACTTTCCTTTCTGCTGCTTCCTTTTAACAAAAGCACCCTGTGTTCATTGCTAAAATCTCAAGCTAGGTGGAAGCATGACAGCATCCTCTGGCAATTTAGAGAGGCCTACAGCTACCTGTATGTTTCAGACTCAGAAACGTCCCCTGTGCTACGTCCAAGATCCACAGAAAGGGATGCTTTGGAGTCAAGTGGATGTTTGGCAGCAGCCGAGTAGCCCTGCTCCCCAGTGTCCTCACCGAGAGCCTGAGGGCCGGCAGGGTCCTTGTACAGGGAGGGCAGCACTGCAGTGAGGGACGGCTCAGGTAAGCCTAAATCCCGTCCCTGCCGCTGTGCACTGTGTGACCTGAGCCACTTGTAGAACCTCTCTGAGCCTCAGCTCCTTACCTATAACGTGAAGGTGATGACGGGGCCCACTTCATGAGAGTTCTGTGAGTAGAAACAGGGCTGAACTTATGTGGCAGGTACTGACCACTTAAAAAATGGTGCACGGTGGATTCTGATCACCATGGGTATTATCACCCCCCAGAAAGGGCGGTGCGGAGGCAACGCTGGGCTTCTCAGGCAGAGGCCAACTGTTCAACCAACTGAGGGTGTGAGCAGAGAAAAGCCCAGCAGCCCTCACCCTGGGGAGAGTGGGGGCCGAAGGAGGGGGCCAAGGGCATCCCTCGGTGACTGCTGCTCTGTTCCTGGGCCCCCCACGCAGGCAGCAGCATTGGCAGTGCAAACAGGTTCAGGCCAGCAGCGAAACCCCACTCTGGGGCAGGACTTGGACTACTTGAACGGTCAGCCTGGGGCAGGGGGAGGTGTGTGGCTGCATTCTGCTTCATCTTGGGCCCACGATTTTACACCATAGAAAGATATCACTGGTTTCAGGGATTCTCTAGATTTACAAAAACTTGTCATCAAAATGTTTACTTTAATAAAAGTGAAATTCTGCCTGCGACTTGGGGAACAAGAAACCACGTGCCGATCTGAGTGAGTGCTGAGGTGCACACGCCTGGAGATAAGGCTGCCTGAGGTTAACTTTCCCCTCTGCCACGTACCAGCTGTGTAACTGGTACGTGGTAAGTGGGTGAGGACTTGGCCGCTGAGCCTCAGTCTCCCCATCTGTTGAGTGGGGAGAACACCAGGTTGCCGGGAGGCCCCGGCGTCCCCACACAGGTGAAGGGCTCAGGCAGCAGGTCTGATCCAGGAGCCCTGCCTGGCAAAGCAGAGCTGCTGCTGCCGATTTCCACACTGGTCTTGGCTTCAAAGCCAGGCCTGGTAAGTTACAGCCCTGGGTGTCCCCCGGGCAGCTCGGACAGCCTACCTGCTGGGCATAGCCTCGGAACATCGGGTTGACCAACTTGATCCCATGGGACAGGCTGGTGGGAACCACGTAGCTGGGGCTGTAGGAAGACCAGACCCGTTAGTACAGGTGGCCTGCTCTGAGCTGCTCAAGCCCATGAGGGCAGCCAGGAAGCCAGTACAGCCAGATCAGACTCAGTGAGGCGTTTACTACAACTTTGGGAGGTGCTAACCTGGCCAGCAGCCCCAGGAGGTTTGCACATCTCTAAGATCAAGAAGGAAAACGTCAAGTCATGGTTCAGTGAGGCGAAAGGCTCCTGACCGGGACGGCATCGTGTCCCACCAGTCCACGGCAAGCTACTCAAAAACTGTTCTCATTATAAAATATTTATTGTGGTTTTCTAATTTCAAAAGTAATACATGGGGACTCCCCTGGCGGTCCAGTGGTTAAGACTGTGCGCTTCCACTGCAGGGCGCATGGGTCTAAACCCTGGTCGGGGAACTAAGATCCCGCACGTGGCGTGGCGTGGCTAAATAAATAAATACAAATAAATAAAAATGACAGCTGCTTTAAAAAAAAATACGTGTTCATGATTGAAAAACAGAAAATTTCAGAAAAGCACAACAAAGAATCATCAACACTAACAGCCCCACCCAGAGATAACTACCATTAAGATTTCCAGATTTTTCCATGAAAATACAGATGCATATACAAAATTACACGCAGGTAAACACTTAAATGTGGCTTCTTAAAACTGGAATTATATTGCATCACACTGTTTAATAATCTGCTTTTACACTTAATATGTTTCTATGCACTCACAGTTTTTTTTTTGTTGTTGTTGTTGTTTTGTTTTGTTTTGGGTTTTTTTGGCTGCACCGCGCAGCTTGCAGGATCTTAGTTCCCCGACCAGGGACTGAACCCGGATCACAGCAGTGAAAGTCCTAACCACTGGATTGCCAGGGAATTCCCAGCACTCACTTTAAATTAGTCCCAATTTTAACTTTTCCTGGAGAAACAGATCTAACCAAGGCTTCTGGTCTTTAAAGTCCTTTTTCACTGAGCTAAAAGCCCCTGAACGTCAGTGCCAGCCACTTCTGAAATCCTTTCCTACGTGCACAGATGTGGCTGAGACCTACGAGTGGTCACCACACAACTCTGGACCTCAGCACACATGCTGCAAAATGCTGCCATCTTCCATCAGCACCAGGCTCAAATTCTAGCTCCGCCTTTCATAAGACGTGCTATCTTGAGCAAGATCCTTAAGTCTTCTGAACCTCAGTTCCCCAGTTTGTGAGAGTTGGCTATGACCTACAGCTCGAAGGGCTGATGTAAGCATTGCACAGGGTGAAACACAGGAAGTGATGGTGAGAGGCTGAAGGCACAGGAAGTGCTCTCTCAAGGGGCCGACAGAAAATCCATCCCCACACCCCTGCCCCAGGTTAGGGACTCGGTCAACTCACCGTTTCCTGTGCCAGACCTCAGAGACCAGCTTCTGGTAACTTTTGCACAGGGCTGGCTTCTTGTCTGTGCGCACCAGGCCTCCACACTCCAAGAAGAACTGGGTCAGTGGGGGGCTGGGGGACGGGGCAGGGAGCCAGGTCAGAAGAGAAAAGAAGGGGAGCATGGCATTGTTTACAAAGAGCTGGGTGGAGAAGCAAAAGCATCTTATGTGGGATGTACTGTGGCCCCCTGGAGCCAGAAACGCCTGCAGAAGGCATTGAAGGACACCACCTATTATGGGCTGAATTGTATCCCCCCCAAATTCATACACTGAGGGCTTCCTGGTGGTGTAGTTGTTGAGAATCCGCCTGCCGATGCAGGGGAGATGGGTTCAAGCCCTGGTGAGGGAAGACCCCACATGCCGTGGAGCAACTAAGCCTGTGTGCCACAACTACTGAGCCTGCGCTCTAGAGCCCACATGCCACAACTCCTGAAGCCCGCGCGCCTAGAGCCTGTCCTCCGTAACGAGAGGCCACCGCAATGAGAAGCCCGCGCACCACAACCAAGAGCGGCCCCCGCTCACCGCAACTAGAGAAAGCCCGCATGCAGCCACGAGGACCCAAAAGCAGCCAAAAATAAATAAATAAATAAAAATGTAAAAAAAAAAAAAATTCATACACTGAAGTCCTAACCCCCGTACCTTAGAACGTGATTGTGTTTGGAAATAGGGTCTCTCTTTAAAGACTGTTGTGCGAACGAGAGGAACCACTGCTTATCCTCCCATCAGCCCCTTCTTGGAAACCTTCCTGAGCCCAAAAGCATCTCCCCCACTCCCCTTTTCTTTGTTTTTGTTATCTTATTACATAAGAAATACTCATTTACTGTAAAAAACTTAAAGATACTAAGCAAACAATAATAATTGACCTTAATCCTACTACATGAGGATAGCTACTCTGTAGATCTGGGGGCATGGCCTTCTAGACTTTTCTATGTATGCGTATCCCCCATCCCTCCCTCCTTCTCTCTCACACGTTCACACACACACACACACACACACACACACACACACACACACTGAACCCCTACTAGGTGGGAGACCCTGAGTGCCAGAAATAGGAGATGTCCCAGCCTCAGGGAGTGGACACCCTATCCTATATGGAAAATAATATTTTCCTCCAAAATGGGATTGCACCAAACAAAGGTTTATAACCTCCTTTTTCCTACTTATCATATTCTGAACTCCTCCTCTTTTTAATAAATATTGTCCTGCACCATTTTTTCCTGAACTCACTGTAACGCTGCCCTACAATAAATTTATGATTTTATCGACCTTTAAGTTGTTTCCAGTAAATGGCAGAATGATGAACCTCATTGCATAGACAGCTTTCTCAATATCGCAGGGTACCTCCTTAGGATAAATTCCAAGAGGAGGGATTGCTGGGTCAGAGGGCATGTGTGGTTTGGGGCATTTTGATGTGTATCCACATACAGGTTTCTGTGGGCAACACAGAACCCGGCTTGGGGGCCCCAACTCCCAGATGAGGTGCAACCTACCAATTGGACAGGGCCTGCAGGGCCGCGTTCATGTAGCAGGAGTTGCCAAGGTTCTTCATGCCCGTGAGGCCTGGGAGACCAGCGCACACAGAGGAAGGGGAAGGTGAGCATCTCGACACGGCAGGAACCCATAGAGGATGGTTCTGAGTCCCCAGGACCCACCCCAGAAACCTGCCGAGTCCACTGACGTGGTCCCACTCCCAGCAGCTCTGGTTACCGCAGTGTACAGAACCTACGGACCCCTCCGCCGTCCACCCAGCCCAGCCCACCATCAGCACCAAGCAGGGGCAGTGGCCTGGGTGCAGAGGGGCCGGCCCACCCAGGGATACATGGCTGTACAGGGCTGAGGGCGGCGGCTGGCGCCCCAGGGAAGCCCTCGTGCCCCACAGGCCGCCCCAACCTGCCCAGGCAGCACAGCGCGTGGGGCCGTTACCTCGCGGTTTGAGGTCATCGTCCTCCGACTCGGACTCTCCTTCGTCAGCCACAGCAATGGGGACAGCTTTCAGAGGGTGGGAGGGCGGCACAGAGTCCTGTGTTCGAGAACCAGAGTGAGGAAAACTAGTGGGGTGAGGAGGGAGAGGGGTTGGGGTCAGAGGCCCGTGTGCCTCCCCCACTGGGGTTCAGGGCAGGGGTGGAAGCCCAGGCCCCCAGCCTGCACTGAGCCAGCCCGTCTGAGCAGAGGACACCGTGGAAAGAGAGGGCATTGGTGGCCTTGCCCTGGGAACTCTGTGACTTGTATTTTACTTACAATAATGAGTAGTAATAATTTAATTTATTTATAATAAATTTGGGAAAAAAAAGAAACACAGAAAAAACAGCAGGCAATCCAACTTTCCTGAGACAACCACTGTTGATAGTCTATTTTATCTATGTAGCATTTTAACTGTTAATACGCACACACACCCCCAAAGCGGGATTTGTGTATACTTCTTCAGAGCCTTTTTTGTAAAAAGTCATAAATATCTACCATGTCCACAAACGTACTCTATATATGCTTATCAAGCACCCATTATGTGATGGTCACTGTCCAACGTGAAGACAGCACTGCACACACACACACACGCACGCAGACACGCCTGGCCTCCACACACACACGCACACACACGCAGACACGCCTGGCCTACACACACACACACACATGCACACACAGAGACACACCTGGCCTATACACACACACACACACGCATGCACACAGAGACATGCCTGGCCTACACACACACACACGTAGACACACCTGGCCTACACACACACACACACACACACACACACACGCATGCACACATAGAGACACGCCTGGCCTACATGCACACACATGCATGCAGACATGCCTGGCCTACACACACACACACACATGCAGAGACATGCCTGGCCTACATGCACACGCACACACACGCAGACACGCCTGGCCTACACACACACACACATGCCTGGCCTACACACACACGTGCGTGCACACACACATGCACGCACGCACACGCGCCTAGCCTCCCAGGGCTCCAGGGCCGGCTCTCTGACTGCTCCCCGAGGCCAGCTCTGGGCTGGGCTCACCTGCCTGCCTCCTTTAAGGGCTGCTCGGCGCCCCATGTGTGCCTTGCCTGCTGGGGGGGCGGGAGGTTTCCGGGCGTTTCCCCCAGAGAGGTGGCTGCAGGACCATCACCAGGGGCTCTCCACAGGCCAGGGAGGGTGTGCCCCGCCCCACGGCCCTGGGCTCACCCGAGGCCTACAAACTCCCTGCGGGAGAGCCGCCCTCCTTCCAGGCACCTCCGTGTTGCCGGGCCCTGACACAGGGCTGGGGCTCAGCGGGCGTTCGCTGACATGAGCTCCTCAAAGCCAGCTGGCAACGCTGAGCAGGAACGGACGCCGCCGGGGATCCACCGCCCTGCCCTCCTGGGCATCTCCTCGGCTGGCGCCCGCACCCGCTCACCTGCTCTGAGAACTTGGGCGAAGGGCCTGGCGGCTGGGCTGCCAGCCGAGGCTCCAGGAATACCTCCTTCTCACAGGCGTAGCACCACACCCGGAACGTGGTCAGGTTCACTGTCAGGTTGTGCTTTTTGGCCTAGAGGGCAAGATGCAAAATCAGAAGGATACAGTGGCCTAATGGGTGCCCCAGGCCCGCCTCAGGGCTGCGTGAGCTCTCCGGCTTCAGGAAAAAGCCCCATCAGGTCAGAGGCCTAGAAGCTCAGGACCCGCTCCCCCCACAGGCCAGGAGTGCCAGGGGCTGCAGCAGCACATTTTCTCTTGCTTCTTCGCTGTGATTCTTCCTATTTTACACATGTAACCACTGAGGCCCAGAGCGGCAGATGGCGCTGGGGGCGGCCGAAGCTGGGGTTTGAACTCTGGGCTGTCGGACCGCAGCGCCCATGCTCCCGGCCACCACGCTCACCTGCGCATGGATGGTGCTGTGGTCAGCAAAGGATTCTCCGCAGCCAACGTAGGAGCAGGCGACCTGGGGAGGTGGGTGGAGAGGAAAGGAGAGCGGACGGATGGGGCGGCCAAGAGGACGCTGCCAGCACAGCGAGCCAGTGCCCGTCTCCACCCAACAGGACCCACAGGCACTGAGGCCCTGCCGCCCTGCAGGAACACAGGTTTGCACAGTCAAGGTCCGCGCTGGGCAGGGATGGCCACCACACAGCCACCCCCATCTCTGAGCGAGACGGGCAGTGTGCCCCGAGCTGCTGCTCTCCTGCAAGAAGCCGGGCAGGGTCGCACCAGATCTGGGCAAAGCTGAGGCCTGGCTGCTTGGCGCCCAGACCCTCTCCCCCTCCATTTGTCCCTTTTTCACCAAAACCCCACTTCCTGAGGGGCCAGTTATCGGGACTCACACTTTGGGTAGGGAGACTGGGCCTCACGGCCATTTTCTAACGGGCAACACTGAATCGGGCAGAGGCAACTGGGGCCCGGTGCGGACCCCATGCCCCTCAGTGTGCCCGGTGGCCTGCCTCTGGCCTCGCACCCTCCTCTCCCAAATCCACCCAGCTCCCAAGGCCCAGCTCAAGAGCCTCTCCTCTGCGGGCCTCCGCCCCAGCGATCAGCCTGCTTCTCCGTAGGAGTGCTTTGGTATCATTTCCAGCTGTGGTCAGCACTGCACAGGCTGGTGAGGACCTTTCATGGAAACGACCTTTGGGCTGCGTCATAAAGGATGTGCCACTTTCTGCATCAGGTCCGTCTCTATCTCTCTGGGGGGCCTGTGGGCTCCCAGGAGGTAAGACCACGCCTCACACTTCTCGCTGTCCCCTGGGGGCCCAGATGGTGTCTTGCAGTGTATTTTACACTGAGCAACAGGCCCAAAAGGAGGAGGCCAAAGCCCCGTGGGGGGTCCGAAGTCTTCTGAAACGACAGACTTGAACTATGGTATTTTCACCCCTGTGGGCTTTTTTGTTTATCCTTGTATTTGTTTTCAAAGAAATTTTAAGTAACAGCCATTTTCAGTATGACTATAAAATGCAATACATACTTGTAGAAAAATTAGAAAACACTACAAAGTTACAAAGAAAAATGAATTACCCATAATTCTACCCCCCAGAGAAAACTGTCACGTGTTGACACATCTACTGTAACTCTTTTCGGTAAAGCAGTAATAATCACGACCAGACTTTCCTGGACACTGTCTACTGGCCACACACCCTGTTAAGACCATCACAGGCATCATCTCTTCAAATTCTACCATAAAGTGGGTCTGCAAGGAGGGGGCAGTTATCAGCGTTGTGGCCTCTACTTTATAGACGGGGAAACAAAGGCCTGGGCCAGGGCTCAGAGCCAAGATGCTACAGCGCCTCTCTCTCTCTCTCTCTCTCTCTCTCTCTCTCTCTCTCACACACACACACACACACACACACACACACACACACAAGGACAGAACTTTGCCTTTAATGCTGATGGGATCATTCAGTTCAGAGTCTTCTCCAACTTACTTTCTCCTCTTGGCATCTTTAATGGCTGCCAGTGCAGCCAGGCCGGGGGCTCGCAGACTCTGGGGCCCTCTTGGCTTGGGCTTGGGAACCACACCCGAGACATCCATGCCCTGTGTCCCTGCCCAAGGTTCCCAGCCGTGACCATGGGGGACGGTTGTTCCCACCCCAGAGTCTGGACCCAGCTCCCCACCCCAGACATCTGCAAGGATACTTTACCTGGAGACAGGCCCACAGGTTGGGTCCGGAAACACCGCATGACTGACAGGTGCCCTGTGTGAGGTGCGGAGAGAGAGGAAGAGAAGGGTGTGAGCGGCCTGTTGGATGTGCACTGACGGACGCACCTGAAGGTCTCAGCTTAGAGGCTTTGCCTCAGAAAGGCCCTCGCTGGCCCACAGGGGCACTTTAAATTTTAATGTTTGAATTTTGTTTTATCATGTGCCTGTAAAAACATTTTCAATACAATCATTTAAAGCCTAAATAAACAGACGCCATAATATGCCCCCTCAACACACCTTCTACTCTTCCTTCGTTGCATTTATTTATTTAAGCCTTTCTCCCCACCTAGGCTATGGGCTCCATGAAAGAAGGATGGTCTGTTTTACCTACCCCTGCGACTTCACAGAGAGCCTGGTACAAATCAGGAGATAATATATTTGTTGACCACAGAAAACACCCAGGTTTCCGGTGGTCTGGATGACAGAGCCTGCTTCTTGTCTACCAATCTCTCTCCTCCCTGCTTTAATAAAAGAATCCATGAATTTAGGCTGAGCACATCGACAGCCAGCTGCAGACTATGTGTCCCAGCCCCCGCTGTGATCATGGGGCTCCGTTCTAGTCAATAGTATGACAGTGAAAAGCGACATGTGCCACTTCTGAGTTTTGCATAACCCTTGCTCTTTCTCCTTTTTCCATTGGCTGGAATGCAGATGTGATGGCAGGAAGTGAAGCAACCACTTTGGACCTGGAGATGAAAGCCATGTGTTGAGAATGGCAGAGCCACTCTATCAGTGCTACCTATGTCTGGACTGTTCAGTGAGAGAAAAGTAAACTTCTATCTCATTTAAGCCACCGTATCTCAGGGTCTCTTTGTTATAATTTAAACTATCCTAAGTAATTTTGTCTGTGCCTGTCTAGAACAGCAATTCCCAACTGAGCCTCCACAATACTCAACGTGTCTCTGCCAGTTGTGAGATGAATTCTAAGCGCTGGTAGCAGTTACAGAGTCCTTAATCAGAGTGAGAGCTGACCTCTGGTGAGGGATCACAACAGTCCAAGCAACCAGCTAAGTTTTTTACACCTTGCTCATGTAATCCCCACCACAGTCTGTGCAGCAGGTCCCATCAAGATCCCCTTCATAAGATGAGAAACTGAGGCTCAGAGAGGTCATGACCCTACAGAGCAGAGTCAGAAGGGGAAGCTGAGGAGCCGCGGTCATCAAACTTTCCAGTTTCCTCCCAAGGATGACCACGTCGACCCCCAGGCCTCCATGGGAACTTCTTTGTCTCACTAAGCCCAGATTTTGGCTGTTTGTAAAGAGCCTGAATGTGGGATTCTCACTAGGGTGGAGGTGACACAGCTCATCCCATACAACAGGGCAGAGATTTGCAATCTGTGATGTAGGGTCTCTTGCTAAGGATGCTACGGCTGGCTAGAGATCAGTCTGCTTAGTGGACTCAAAGTCACAGCTCTTGACCGTTCCAAATCTGTCATCTCTTTTGTGATTTTCTGATTTCACAGTTCACTCCCATCTTCCCAAGTTTTTTTTTTTTTAATTTCAGTCATTTGAATGATAAAAGTATTGTATGTTTAACAATTTAAATGATACACACACACTGTATATAATGTGTAGTATATTATATATAATACATATATTCTGTATATAATGATGTGTAGTATATTATATGCAATACATATATTCTGTAATAATTTGAAGTATATCCCTCCATATCTTCTTCTTATATAAACATATATGCATAGATGGGGGGATGATTTCTAGTAAAAATAAGATCATATTCTATACAAATTTTTCGGTAACAGGCTTTTGTCACCTATCTGTGGTCATCCTTCTAGTCTGTACACAGAGACCACGTCTCATTCTTTGCAGTAAGTGCATGGTGGCACACACTGTGGGCACAGACACCACAATCTGTTCGCTCATTCCCTTCTTTTTTTTTTTTTTTGTGCGGTACGTGGGCCTCTCACTGTCGTGGCCTCTCCCGTTGCGGAGCACAGGCTCCGGACGCGCAGGCCCAGCGGCCATGGCTCACGGGCCCAGCCACTCCGCGGCACGTGGGATCCTCCCGGACCGGGGCACGGACCCGTGTCCCCTGCATCGGCAGGCGGACTCCCAACCACTGCGCCCCCAGGGAAGCCGCATTCCCTTCTTGATGAATATGCAGACTGCCGCCAATTTTCCTTTTACAAATAGTGCTCCATAAATACTGCTGCATTTGTAGCTGTTACTACACTTCTACTAGCTAAACTCCCAGAGGCGGCACTGCAGCCCTAAAGTTACAGTAATGCCTCACCCCACTGCCACGCCTGGTCTGCTTCCCTCCCTTGGTCAGCTCTGAGTGAGAGCAGCTTCTGCTTTGCCCATCTGAAAATGGTGTCATGTTGCTTTCTCTGGCAAAATCCTTAACCATCAGGGAAGTCAGGCATCTTTTTTCAAGAGTTTCTCGGCCACTTGCATTTCCTCCATTTTGAGCCACCTGTTCAATCCTTGCCCCTCCTGGGTATTTTATTTTATTTTATAAATTTTATTTATTTGTTTTTTTTTATTATTTATTTATTTATGGCTGCGTTGGGCATGCAGGCTTCAGTAGTTGTGGCACGTGGGCTCAGCAGTTGTGGCTTGCGGGCTCTAGAGCACAGGGTCAGTAGTTGTGGCGCACGGGCTTAGTTGCTCCGCGACACGTGGGATCTTCCCGGACCAGGGCTCGAACCCATGTCCCCTGCATTGGCGGGCGGATTCTTAACCACTGCGCCACCAGGGAAGCCCCTTCTGCATATTTTAACACAACATTTCTTTCATTTTCTAGATTTCCAAAAGGCTGCCGCATCCCAGCCCAGTCTTTCCACGTTCTGCCTCCTTCTTCCCACCTCGTTTATCTCCTCCCTGCTCTCAGATTCCCTGATAAATCCTCTCAGTTTGTCTCACTTATTCCTTTGTGCAGACTCAGGAAGAGACCCAGCATTAGACCGTGCAAATGCACCACAGCCTCGCTCTGCCCCTGCTCCTGACCACACTGAAACCGTGCCCCTTAGGGTTAACAGAAATTGAACTTGTCTTACAGAATAGCAGCTAAGGAAACAGCTCCTTAAAAAGCCCCTCTGCTTTGAGTCTGCCTTCACTGAGCAAGCTTATCTTAATTATTTTTCTCAAATTGCATACCCTCCAAGCTTCGTGTAGCCTATATATCACAAGACTCCTTAACAACCCCTACAGATAACAGCTCTAACAGCTCTGATGTATGGGTCACTGTAGGAATAGGGGCTTAAGCTGTTTTTCAGAAACTTGGAGTCAGCTCTTGTCCAGTTTGAGCTGGCTTAGACTGGCTGGGACCACTGACCCTAAAACTGGGCCTACAGAGGTGTCCGACGAATGACCTTTCGTTGTCAGAGGGCCAAACACTCCACCCTCAGATCATGCTAGGCGCCTCCATTTTTCAACACACATCCCAGGAAGACGGATGTAACTCAGGTAACACCTGCGTGGAACACCCATTACCTCACCTGTCCCCACGCCTAAGACCACCCCAAGCCCCTCGCCTCTGGGGAGGTGGGCCTGAGGCTTGTTCTCTCGTCTCCTCGCTTGGCTGCCTTGTGAATACATCCTTTCTCTGCTGCAAACCTCGGTGTCTCAGCGTTTGGCTTGATGCATGCTGGGCAAACAAACTTGCTTCAGTAACAGCCAGTGAAACCACTTCGAAAGAAGCCATGGGTACTTTGAAGAATCGCGCCCTCATGCGGGCCCAGACTAAACCAGCTCAGGCCAAAAGCCACCCAGAACCTGCTGGTGCAGGGAGGCTGAACGACCAGCATTAGGTGTCTGGAAAGAAGACAAGGAAATATGTCTAGGAATCTGACCCACCCCCACTTCTGGGAATGACCCCTACACATGGCTCTTCCCCTGAACACAACGACACTGTATTGGCAGAAGGCTGCAAAGGGCCCAGATGTCCACCCACAGAGGATCAGCTATGGAGTCCACACAACAAATATGATGCAACTTCAAGATAAACCATGAGATCTGTGTGCTGAGGCCAAAGAGCTCCAAGACATACTGCCCTGTGAATAAGGTACGCTACGAAAATGGCTACGGTACACTACCTTTTATGTAATAAAGGGGAAAATGAAAAAGAAGTATTCCCATAAAGAAACTCTGAAAAGATACAAAAGCAACTAATGTCCCTGGTTACATGAGGGTGGAATGGAGAAGCTGGGCACAGGGCACTTCTTGACATTTTTCTTCTTACATTGTTTCATTTTTGAATCACATGTTACCTATTTAAAAAAATTTAACTTAACAAACAGACAACACATCTTCCCTATTCAAAGTGGCCCACCTGCTCTCTTTGAGGCTCCCTGAGCCCTTCACAGGTCACGTGTGCAAAAATGCCCGTAGACTCTCAAAGTCTGACTCATTCCCTGCCTTGCACCTGCTCCAACCACTAATGGGCAGAGCATCAGTGTTCCCAAATGGACTGGTCTACTAATGGCTGTTAGGACACAGCCCCCGGAAGGCCTCCTAAACAGTCGCCAGCTTTTCCATTTACAGAAAAGGCCAAACAGACTGTCAGGGGCCAGTTCTTCCGCTGCTTCAGAAATGTTTGCACCCCAGGAATGTGGTGGCCCTGGCTGTGGGCCTCAGCCCCGTAAGGTCTGACCCTTTACCTTGGATTTGAGCAGCAAGTCCTCTTTGGTCACCTCCCCTATAGAGTCAAGATGAGGGCAAAGGTCCCTGGAGTCCCCCATGCTGGCCTGGGCTTACCTACAAGAAAACACAAGGAATCCTGGGTTAATGGCAGCCACTGCTGGCCAGAGGCAGGGGAGGCTTGTGGTGAAGTGCACACTTTGGTCTCTAGTCCCAGCTCTGCCACATACCAGCTGGTGACCCAGGGAAGCTACTTAACTTCTCTGAGCCTCACCCTCCTTGCCTGAGAGCTGGGGAGGGAGATAACACCCACTCTGATGGGTTGCTCAGAGGACTCACGAAGATAATATACGTCAAATGCCTGGCACAGGGCTGGCACAGGGCTGACACAGGGCTGGCACAGGGCTGACACAGGGAGAGCAGGTGCTGGGATGATGATTAGGATTCAAGTGCTGGGTGCGATGATTAAAAGTGTCGACAGGGGGCTTCCCTGGTGGCGCAGTGGTTGAGAGTCCGCCTGCCGATGCACGGG